ATCAAATACGCAAAAATTAATAGAACGGTTGCAACAAAACGTATGAGTAAGTTTTCATGCTTCATTTGGAAACAATCCGCAAGGTCTTACGACTTTCTTTCTGAGAGCACATTTAACTTACATCTAAATAACGGTCAGTGAATTTTTACATTTCCAATATGTTTTTTAAAATTATAACATTGATCAAAAGAACTACTTGTTTCTTTTTTGATTAAAATTCATTAGGATTACAAAACGAAATGTCTTAAAAAATGCTTAAATGTGAAAATGCATAGTAGTTAATCGTTTTTAAGTTCAAATTTTAGATTTTCAAATTAAATTTGAGCAGAGATTGAAGCACTCAACTGCAGTGAGTCACTCAAAACATTGCTATCAACAGTAACTCCTTGTTATCATGAAGAAACTTTTCATGCGAAGCATACAGTAACAGTTATCAATGAAATTTTTTTCTTTGCGCAGTAACTTTAGTTACATATGTTACATGATCACTGTAACACGTAATTCATATTTTTGGTGCACGTGAGGTGTTTTACTACTCATCAATTTCTGCAGTTTCTTAATTCTTTCTCCAATCTTTCTTACCAACTTTAATTACAGCACTGATTTTACGTCTTAAATATTCATTGAACATTTTATTTCATAAATTTCGGTGATGACAATGATGTTTTTTTAGAAAAGAAATAATTAAGCAAATTAATTCTGAAGAGATAAGCGGAAAAATATGTCGCAAATATTTATTGCTGAAACTAAGCAGTACTAGGATTGTTTTGTACACAGTTTATTATTTAATTGAAAAATTGTAAGCACTATTTCCATAAAAATAAATAGATTCATATGCAAGGTTGATTTGATAAGTTAGATCAGCATCAAATCAAATAATCGCTGTAAGTTTTTTCTATTTTTTCTGTTGACAGTGTCTTTAATTTTCAATCTCATCGTCCAATCACTACTATCACATCAAACATTAAGATTGCTTAAAACTTTGCAGCATTCGTTGCCCGCATTTTTTTTTCCTCTTTTACTGAATACCGAAACATTGTGCGCGTTTCTTTGCCTGCATAATAAACAGCTTGAATCTTCTGTATTGCATTACCTTCAAAGGGTAGTTCACTGTCCTTAAGCATATTGTAAATTTCTCGCTTTGATCCATTTGAGTCAATATTATATTCGCGCCTAAATTATAGATTTATAAGGCCAATAAATTAACATTCATGTTGTTTATATTGAATATATTAGTTCAGAAAAGTTAAAAGCACAATTAATTCATTCAGTGCAACAAAATTCAGTCGTGATAAATTTTTTAAGCATTGAGCTACTAGAAAATGAATTTCAGGGCATTTTGCCTCGAACTGAATTGGATGAGGTTAACAATTTACTGCTTTACAACATTAATTCAGCTCATTAATAACATGAATAGTTTACTCGGCTGTGATCAATCTATACAAAATTTGAAGAAATCAGACACAAAGTGAATCAATGGGTCAGTTTATTTTTGATTAATAACATTAAACCGTTGATTATCATTGTATGTGATTATAAAAGCTTACATAAACTGTACGTAATGCACATTTGCAACAAGGATAATAGCTTTCGAGCATAATTCATGCAAACGATGATGAGCACTAAGACTGAGGTAACGTAGAACTTCATCCACACTCAGTGTTTTCCATTGCTACAAAAAAAGCCCAACATGAAGCCAATGTAACCAGTGCTTTGCAAATTAGTTAGACTTCTTGAAAACAAAAGTTAAATAAGAGTAATAAAAATAAACTTTTAATTATTATTGTATTTGATTACGAAAAGAACTTATTTTTGTTTCAAATTATTTTGTCTACATTTTTAAGAGTCTCTAATATATGAAGCATGTAAAAATTTTCTTTTTTGTAGGTCTTAGATAAGTAATAAAATTTTTTGAAATTTAACTATTAGCAAGGGAAATTTAGATGCTATTTTTTCACTGTACTTGTAAAAAGCTTCTAAATAAGAGTTTAATTTCGAATGTAAAAAGTTACATTGCAAACTTGATTAATTAAAATTTAACTATTGAAACATTCAATTTGAGCATTAAACGCTGATGACCAATTAGACTGGCTCAAGTGAATTGAAACCTCATTTAGTTTGTTTCGAAGGCCATCAGTAATGTGATGGATAAGAGTCCAGAAACCGCGGGGCCGAAAAGTCCGGATGCATGAGATAAAATCATCAAGGACATCTGGCGCGGCATCCATCATACTGAATGAACCTTTTAGTGCATAATGTATCATCTAAACATAAAATGTATCTTTCGAGTGTTAGTATTGAAGAAATACTTTATGCTATAGAGAATTGAGTTCGGAAAATGGAAATTAGAAGTATTTAACGACTAAATTATTTGGGTTATGCGTTTTGAAGCTGAAAAAAAAGAAATTCAGGAGTAGCAGTGAAAAGCAAAAAATTTAAACTTTGTTATTACTTTACCACCATTTGAAAATGTGATAGGATCCAAAAAGAAATTTTTTTATATTTATAAACTCAAAAATATTATAAAATCAGATTTTAACAAGAAGTAATGCACGCGTTTCAAAGTCGTGAAAAAGTAATGCTAAGAGGTGTTGAAGATTAAATTTAAAACAAGCTTTTTCGAAAGCTTAAAACCCATCTTAATTCAAATATAATTGTAAACTCCATCTAACTGTGAGCCTTCAACATCTATAAGTGTTACTTAAATTATGAATTTAAGTTTCTCATGAAGATATTACCCGATAGCAGTAACAACTCATAGGCATTTTTGCGAACCTGCTGAACGGATTCTTTACGATGTTCAATCGAAATCGATTTAATATTTGGATCAGCGTCCACTTCACTATGAATTCGATCAATCGTCAAATACAATAAATAACGTACCGATTCAATCGATCCATTTTTGGTGTGTATTGTAAAATCACTTTAAAAAAACCAAACACTTTTTCAAGTACAAAAGATAAAGCACAGGTTACGGTTTAAATTTTTCGGTCAATAAAATCAAGTTTTCCTAACAAGGCCATGATTATTATTAATAATCATTAATAATTGTTCATTATTATTATTATTATTATTAT